TTAGGGTCTACAGGTGTGGGAAACCTAGAGAAGAAGACCTAGTTCCTAATTTACGTAATGCACTACACACAGCCTGGAAGATGCCGGAAAGGGTGCAGGCGTGGGTAGAAGGGTTCTGAGTGAGGTTGTGACAGCCCCTTGGTGTCAGGATGCAACAAGCCTACCCTCCACATGCAATCCGTTCCTTTGGATCACCTGTCTCTATACCCATCATTCTCATTCTATCCTTGAATGACTCCCATTTCCTCAATTTAATAAAATAATGACTGTGGGCTCCTGAGGCCAGGGATCTGTCTCGTTTACTCTGTTCCCTGTTTCCTTGGGACATAGTGGGTCTTTATAAATATTTGTTAAAAGGGGAACACTTGGAATGACAAAAAAAATGACACTGCTTCCTTATATCACAGTAGTTGCACTTGACAATTTGTAAATATTTCAAAATCCAATTCAAAGTGGATCAAAGACCTTAATTTAAAGCCTGAAACACTGAAACTTCTAGAAGAAAACATAGGGCATACCCTTTAAGATATCGGTATATGCAAGAACTTTCTGAATAAAACACCAACAGCAAAGGAACTAACTAACCATCATCAACAGAAAATAAAAAAGTTGCTGTATATCAAAGGAAACAACAATCTTCCCCCTCCCCCAATTCTCTGTATAGCCCTGGCTGTCCTAGAACTCACTCTGTAGACCAGGCTGGCCTTGAACTCACAGAGATCCCCCTGCCTCTGCCTCTTCCTCCCGAGGGCTGGGATTAAATGTGTGCATGACCACCACCACCTGGTATGAATTTTTTTAAAGATTTATTTATTTGTTATGTATACACTGTTCTGCCTCCATTCCAGAAGAGAGCACAAAGATTTCATTACAGATGGTTGTGAGCCACCATGTGGTTGCTGGGAATTGAACTCAGGACCGACCTCTGGAAGAGCAGTCAGTGCTCTTAACCGCTGAGCCATCTCTCCAGCCCCTTAATTGTTAATTATTGACACATTGGCCAGTGTTTCCTTCATGAGCCCCTCGGGGAGGGGGGCCTTCTGGGTATTCTTGGTACCCAGTTATCTTGTGGCATTGTAAGGGAGTGATTGCTGGTGGTTGGTAAATTCCAGGCACTAAGTCATTGTAGTAGCCTTGGTCAGTTTCTGGGCTATATTTCTTTGCTAATATTTCAGTCTTTCACTAGGAGTTTCCAGGTCCACACCCCCCCTACTCAGGCCGAACCTCATGGGTTAAGGCAGAGACATGCTGGGTCATGACAAGTTAAGACAGAAAAGATGAATTTGGTGATGGTTTGTAAAGATTGACATAGGAACAAAGATGTTGGGTTAAGTTTAACACCCTGAGTTACAACTTATCATTGTGAAGGGACCAGCTTCCCTTTTGGCAGCCACAACGACCAACATGTGCTTCTATGACCTTGTCCTAGACACTAGAAAGTCAGA